CAGGTCACCAATTTAACATGTTTAGCTCTATAACATTTAAATGCACCTCTCCAATGTCTAAGAGGAAATTTTAATGAACATTTTTAATGTATGACCTGCATCACTACAGAAGACTGCCATATGATATGATATTTACACTGTGCGCATGGCATACAATTATGCCAATTTTCCTAATCCCTGACAAAGAATTTTTATTCTAGGGTTATCTGGGTGGAGGGTGAAACAGCCTTGTTGTTTTTTAGCCTGCCAAGTCGAAAAAAAATGTCTGATTTGCGCCGGACAAAAATCCCCGGACAAAAATCACGCCATCTGGCAGAAAATCACGCGGCTTTTTGAATTCACGCTTGTGGGTCGTTTTCAGCGAATGTCTGTGATTTTAAAGTAATTTTGAGTGATACATTTTTTTTTTTTGTGATCATTGCACTTGCCCGGCGGGCAAATGCAATGAAATTTGTACTCTCCCGACAATAAAAACTACTTGCCCCGGGCGATGGTTAACATCGAGCTCTGATGGAGGCTTTTTTTTTTTTCAGAGAAAAAGATGAGAAGCCTTTTTAAAGATTGCTGACATCTCACCAAACATTTCTTTGTTTTTTTTGTTGTCTTTTTTTACATACTGAGAATTTAAATGTGACCATTTGAATAAGGAAATTTGCTTTCCATGTTTTTTTTTCCCTCTGGGATGCAGCAGCTACTCTTTCACAGAGGAACCAAATATGTCTTAACGCTTAATGCCCCCCCCCCCAAGCCCAATCCACACACATTCAGATTTCAGTTATAAATCTCACTGTGAGATATTATGGCCCCGGTGTCATGTTTCTGCTATCGGCATTAAAAAAACCTGGTTTGGTTTATTTATTGAGTCGCATAAAGAAAAAAACAAAAAATCCTTAGCATGTGTGGGAACGGACGGGATAATCACCTCTCTGTTCCTTAAATCTAAGAATGTTTTAACACTCTGGCGCCTTTCTGTCTCTTTCAGAGGACAAACACGTCTCATGGTCAAACGATGCAAACACGGGACACGTCCTGTAATCAGTCCCACTATCACAGCCAGCTGTTTATTTAATACAGTTAACCTTACTTTCTATCCTTGAAACACTTTATTTTTTCATAATTTTCTGGAGCTTAGAAACAGAAATACAAAAGGCCTCAGTGTATTTTACCACCATTGGTTATTGGTTCTCCCTGTACTATTGATTAAACTATGTATTTCAGGCTAGCTGCTGAGCTAAGCAATTCAACTTAGTTTATTTCTATAGCACCAATTCACAACACGTCATCTCAATGCCACAAGATCATCCAGTCAAATTGATTAAAGTTTTCTATATAAGGAAAAACAGTTGATTGCATCGACTCATTGACTCTGATGCAATTCCTCACAATAAGCATGCTTGTAGCGACAGTGGAGAGAAAAAACTCCTTTTTAACAGGAAGAAACCTCCAGCAGAACCAGGCTCAGTGTGAGCGGCCATCAGCTGAGGCCGACTGGGGTTCAAGGAGACAGAAGCAGAGATACAAAACGCTCAGCTAACTACATTAGCTGAGCGTTTAGGATGTCTAATTACTCTAGGTAATTAAGGCAGCAGTTTAGGAATCCTCTAATGCACGAACAAATGTTTAGCTGAGCTCTCAGATCTAATGCAGGTATTAGAGTACAAGATGGCGGCGTCAGGAGTGCAGTGATGTTCTAACACGCAGTGGCTGGAGCACCACAAGGTCATTGGACAGAGCTGAGAATAAGGAAAGGAAACCTAAGTAAGTTATCCACTCCCCTGAAGGATTACCCTAGTCCTAATCCTAACATTGTGGGAGGAAACCTAAACCTAAGGTGAGGGTTTAACTTCTTGTGATTGGGACTAACTTCCTGTGGTTTCTTTAGACTCAGGATTTATACTTCTATCATCGATTATAGAATGGCAGTACGTTACTCTTGTAACATAAAACAGACTTATTAAAAAAAAAAAAAAAAAACACCAGTTTGCTAAAGGTCTTAATCAAATTTTCTGATTAGAGTTTGATCTTAATGGAGATATCCCCCTATAAATTAATTAAACCACAAACCAGAAATCTCTCCATTGGCTGCTGTCTGCGTTGTTCCATGTTATCATCTGCCATGGTTGCGTTTCTTGGCGCTTCTGCGTAGCAGGACGCAGAATAGTGACATTTGTCGAGTTTTAATAAGGTAGAGATGAGAGACCTGGCTGTACAGACACGGGTCACATTAGAAAAGATCAGATCTGTGCTGTTAGACCGTCATGAAAACATCCAATAGCAGTCACATTTGAACAAGAAAGTCATATATTTGTCACTTCCAGCTGCAGTGCAAACATAACCTAAACGCTGTTTTTATTTGGCTACTTCTCTCCAGAGTCGACGTCAACAAAGATCGGAGTGTGAGTGCTAAGGAGATGCAACAATGGATCATGGAGAAGACGAAGGAGCACTTCAACGAGGCCATGAAGGAGAACAAAAACAGTTTCCAGGCCGTTGATCCCGATGGAGACGGTAAGATTCGAGCCGTTTCTCTGATGAATACTTTAAACTTATTCCAGAGCTAAAGTGTATTTTGCCGTCCAGGTTTTGTTACGTGGGATGAATACAAAATCAAGTTTCTGGCCAGCAAAGGTTTTGATGAAAAAGAGATTGCTGATAAAATAAACAACAAGGAGGAGCTAAAACTGGACGAGGAGAGTAAGTGTAAAGCTTTGTTTTTATGCTTTATTGTTGGAAAGCTTTTAACTAATGTTTTTTTTTCTAATCTTTATCCTGCAGCCCAGGAGGTGTTGGAGAGCCTGAAGGACCGCTGGTTCCAGGCCGATAATCCGCCTGCTGATCAGCGGCTGGATGAGGAAGAGTTCCTGTCCTTCCTCCACCCTGAACACAGCAAAGGGATGCTCAGATACATGGTGAAGGAAATAGTGCGAGACTTGGGTAAATTTAAACCTTCTAAATCTGCACATCCTAAACCTGCTAGAAGCCATCATTGGACTTAATCCTGATGAGTTCAATGAATTACAAACATTTTACACTGAGAGGAAATCACATTTTACATGATTAGTTTCACCTGGAAAAGATGTAAATGTATTTTTTCAAAAGTTTACCATAAATGTTTTTCTTAAGTTACGAGGAATCCAACTTCCTGCTCTCTGAAAGTGTTTCATCTTCCTGAGTCTTTCTGAATGTCTTTAAGTTTCTTTTTTTTTTGCTTTAGCTGATTTCTTATCTTCTCTGCTATCCTGTTTTCAGCCAATGACAACATAGTTGCGGCAACCGGCATCTTAAATTATGAGAAGTGGTCGATTAGGAAACGATTACATCCCTATTTTTAGCCATAAACCGTTTCAAAGTCCTGCCTTGATGTGGCAAGAAGTTAAAAGTAAAAAAAAAAACGACTGAGAGATGCATCATCCTTTAACTGATCAACTCTTTCATACGATTTTCCTTTAACAAGTCTGAAGAATCTATGTTTGTGGAAAAACACTTTATTTTTTTAAACCCGTTTTT